AAAAACCCTCTTATAAAGGAAGTAAATCTGGCTAAAAACCCTCTTATCTTCATCTGATTGTTTGTGAAAGTGAGCTGCACGATCAGCAGAAAGGGATTCTTTTTGCACACGCGCACACACACTTAAACACACACGCACGCGCGCGCGGATATTGTGTGCAGAAATGCGCGGAAGGGCGGTGAGAGCTGCAGAAACACGGTCCACTCCGCCTCGCGCCGGAGAGGCGACCCGCGCGCGCCCGGAGCCGGTTCGTTGTGGGAAAAGAAGAGAAGGGAAGGAAAGAGAAGAGAAGAGAAGAGAGAAAAGGGAAGAGAAGAGAAGGGAAGGGAAGGTAAGGCTGGGCTGGGTGTGTGTCTTTATGATTTACGAGCCTGACTCCATTCGCGGTTCACGCAGAGTTCAGAAAGCTGCATGCCTCCAGACTTCTCCTCTCCTTTTCTCTTCTTCTCTCCCTCTTTTCTCCTCTCTTCTCCTCTCCTTTCCTTTCCTCTAGTCTTTTTTCCCCTTAAAATTACAGCTGAGTAATCTCGTTCGCTCTCATTTCGGAGGAAGAGTCCATTTAATCGCATTGCGATTCCGGCTGAAATAAAAATAATGACTATTAAAAAAAAAAAAAAAAAGATGGATCAAGCAGTGCGCGTTACACAATGGACTTTTGTATTATTTTGCATGTGATTGATGGCTTTTTCAGGAGCTCGTGATACAACATTTAATTTCTCCCCTGCAAACAGGGCTATCCATTAGGCGAATATAAGGGCTGTAAACACACACAGGCCTAATGCAATTTAGGAAAACACCACGGAAAAACTCACTGGAGCACCGTTTCTTTTTATATCTGTATTCAAATATGTTGGATATATATGCTGATTTGTATATTAATTCTGCTTTTATTGCTCTCATCCCTTTAAAAATAGCATACAAAATAAAATAGTCTCGTTTTGGGAGCTGAATCTGTGAATGTTTAGTGTAAAAAAGCAGCTGAATTCGGGGGTTTTTGTCCTGTTTTTTTCACGGTCATTGTGTTGTTTTGGTGTTTTCATTTGGCCTCTCCAGCATGGAGGGCTTCGCTATTCATGTCAGGGAACTATTGAGTTGATAAGATGGATCATTCCGTCTCCTCCCTGATTCTGTCCTGGCCTTTTTTTCTGGACCAGAAGCCTCGGGCTCTCTGGAAACCCGCCATGTGACGTCTGGCCCCGGCCCGGTGCTCGTTTGGGAGAAATGCAGAACCTCCAGCTCCAAAACGGCTTCTTCCCGGAGCCCCCGGGGGCCGTTTCCGGGTTCAAACCACCGGGAACGGACACGTTCACCCGGAGGTCAAAACCGCAAAGCGCCAAGTTCCCAGTGAGCAGAAACATTTTCCCCTGGATGAGAGAGTCCAGACACTCGAATCAGAAACCCAGCAGGAGGCTCTCAGGTCGGTATACGATTTGAAAAAATAAAAAAAAAGAGAGGGGGAAAAAAATCGTTTTAAACTGAGCTCCGTATAGAGATCATTTCAAAGTTTAATTTGCAGGTTCAAAAGGTTATTTGGGCAGCTGAGCATGAGGAGACAAGGCCCTCACACATTTCATTTTAGGCTTTTAAAATAAACCTGCATGTATCTAATTAAGAAATAAACCTCACAGAAATTAAAGAAGAAATAAAATTGAATAACCAAAATGTGGTAGATCATAAAAGAGTAACGTGAGGGACCCATTTCGTTCAATAACTCTTCTTAGAAAGGATTTTAATTATGTGAATGACGAGTTTGTTTCTTGTGGATCTAAATAGCATCTTATAAATAATGAGATGGAACATAATTTAATCGAGAAACGATTGTTTTGAGAAAACTGCAGAGCTCATATGCAACTGCAGGAAAGAAAAACGGTTTAATCTCAGGTTTCAGCCTCGTTGTGTTGCCCTTTTTAGTTTAATTCAACAGTCATTTGTTGTTTTTGGCTCTTATTAACGCGCAGAATCACGAAAAAAAGCGTAAACCT